GGGCGGGCCCCGCCGCCGCCGTGGTCCGCGTCGCGTCCGCCGGTCCCTCCCCCTCCGCCGTGTGGGCTCCGCCGGTGACCAGAGTGAGTAGCGCTGGGCTGAGCTAGCGAGTAGGAGAGGTGGGTACGCAGCGCGCCGAGGCAGTTCGTTGCGTGGCCGGAGCCTAGAGACAGGTACGCAAGCACGCAGCATTCGCTCCAGTTTGGGTCGGGATCTTTGACCCCGTCAGCCGCTGTCATTTTGAAGGTATGTTTGGGGGGATCCAGGATGAACGAACGAGGAGAGCCTGTTGCCTCAGAGTCGCCCGGACAAAGTTGAGAGTGTGACCGAAAGCTCCCGAGATTTCAAACCTGTAAAAGGGCGTGACAACCGAGTCGCTCTCAAGTGTATACTGATGTGCACATGTGCGCCACGGAGGAGGGTGCTGTAACTGTAAACCTTTCTTGTCGAGTCAGTGTATGGCCTCTAGTGTGCCATTATACTCACAAGTGTGCGCTGTAGTGTGTGACCCGGCTGTCACACACAACAAAAGGAAATGTGACAACCCTGCCGCATTAGTGATTGCCCCTCATCTTCGTGAGTCAGTTGATCTGTCACTTGCCCTCACAATAAGTAGTGCTGTGCTACTGTGACGAGGCTGTCACACTTCATGTGTAACTGTGACTGCCCCGTCACAAAGTGCGAGTGCCTGCGCAACTTTTCTATGGTTGTTAGTCCGACTAGAGTGTAAAGTGGAAACCGTGACAAACCTGAATCAATCCTTCCTCGTTCGACGAACCAGAGGGCCAAAAATCCGTCGAAACTATTAGTTTCCGAAAGACTCGGTGTCGATTCGACGAATGTCGATGTGACGTTCCTGGCTGACGTGAGGTGCATCCCCTGCCTTGCACGATGATGGGGGCTGGGGGTCCCGTGGGAGGCAGCAGGTCGCCGGGGCGGAGCGGTGAGAGGATGACCCCGCCGACCCAATCCTCATCGCGATCGTTGGCCGCGTCCCACCCTTGTCCTGCCCTTGTACCGCATGACCTCCGCCCCGGTCCCGCGGCGGCAGACTTTACGGGGTCGCTGGGCGGGGTGTCCCCACAAGGCCCCCAGCTACTGTACCGCAAGCACGCGTGTGGCGGGTTGCCTTCCCGCTCGGGGTGATAGAGCGTGCCATGGTGACGGGACAGTAGGCAAACCCGCCCGCACCAGGGGCGTAGAAGGGTACCTACACTGTAAATCCGGGGTGTCCAGCAGGTAGGTGACATAAGTCGCCTGACCCGCAAAACTAGGCAACTTATGTCGACTATCTGCTGGACACCCTATGTTTTACCGGGTACTTGCATTGTATGAGTCCATTGGCATTCCACCCATTGTGCCCATGCAATTACCCGACAGGCCATGAAGGTGTCCAGCAGATAGTTGCCTAGTTTTCCGGGTCAGGCGACTTTGTCGCCTACGGTCGCCTACCTGTTGGACACCCCGGATTTACAGTGTAGGCTGAGGGGAGAGGGGGCAAAACTACCCACATACAGGGGTTTTGAAGCTCAAATGGACCACGTACTCTCTCACCCGGCACGTCTTGCACGCCGTACGTACAGTATGACTAGAAGAAGTACGGCGCCCATGCATGGAGCACCCCATGACTCCGAATCGGAATCAATTAACCACCAACAGCAAGAGCTGCCATACGCGTCCCTACGCGGGCAGAGGATTCATCATCGCGAACGCGCCAAAGGGGCACGGCGGCGTGCGGCGTGGCGTCGGTACGCCCGCGCGTGTGCGTCCGCCAGAGTGCCGACCCACGGCGTCAAGGTCGTCCTCGGACAATCGGGCGCTTGTCGTCCGGCCCGCGCGCCGCGCCGCGCACCGGCCGAGCACCACCGACCGTCTCCCGCCGCGTCTCTTCAATACTCCTCCTTTCCGGGAGACTTTGTCGGGTCAGAACGAGACAGCGGGGCCGCCTCTACCACCTCGCTCGCTCTAAGCCTCGCCGTCGCCCGCGGCCACGCCCGCCCCGCCGCGAACACAGCCGATACAACACAGGCGACGCGGTCACGTGACGGCAGGGCGGGACGTGCTCACGCGTCACGGTGCGGTCACGGCGCGGTCACGGCCGTGCGCTGTGTCGCAGCAAACGGCTGGACACGCCACACCCGCCGCGGCGGTGAGCAATCACTCGAGTGCAATAAGCCGCTCTGGAGTGGCACTTCCCTCTGGGCTCGAGTGGATCCACGAGTGGATCCACACCCCCTACCTCCCGCGCCCCCATCCTCTCAGCACAGCCTCGCGAGCAAGTGTTCTCAGCCTCGCCGCCTTCCTCTCTCTGCCGCAGGTGCAGCGCAGGTGCAACGATGGTCGCCAAGCTAGGACTCTGTTTCCTCTTCCTCGTGGCCGTGTGCGTCGTGTGCCCGCCCAGCGTCCAGGGCGCCGGCGGCGTCGACTCCAAGCGATGCGCGGACAACAGCCGGAGTGTACGTAAGCGTGTGCGTGGGCGCCTGGGCGGGTGGGCACGCCCGCGGCACCCGGGTGTCGGCGCAAGGGCGGGGTTGCCTACGCCGCCCCTGCGGGCAGCACCGTGGACGCCGCCCGTCCACCCCAGTCCACCCGCCTCGCTGGTGGCACATGTGCGTGTATCGCGTTCTATTTCTTTTTATTTAATTTTGCAGTGTAGCAGTTCGGATGAGTGCTGTTCCGGTTGCTGCACTCTCGGAACCTGCAACCCGCGTGAGTAACGATGTACTTTTTGAGCATTATCGCGCGCGCGCGCGCGCACACACACACACACGCACAAATCGAGTCCCATGCAGCGTACTTACGGGTGCTCGCTACCACCCAGCGTACTTTCCACGATAAGCCCCTCGCCTTATGCCGCGGCGTGTTGTTGCAGTGGATCGCTGCAGCGCGCAGAGCCAGGGCGCGTGCGCCGTGCACTACTGCCCGCCCGACAAGGAGTGCTACCTGCAGGTGGTGCAGTGCGTCACGGCGCCCTGCCCGCCGCTGCCGGCCTGCCGGCCCAAGAACAGCAACGACTACGACAACTACGACTGAGTCAACGCGCCGCGCACGCCACCCATAGTGTGTTGCAGTATTACTAACAATGAAACCAGTTGCAACTAACATGATACTGTGTTTCCCAGCCAGAAGCGTTGCATCCATATGACGTTGAAGGTCTAAATAAGGTCTACATTAAAGACTACATAGACGTCTAAATGCGGACTGTATAGACTTCTGCGTCCAAGGCTTTCAGACTGGGCTCGCTTAGCCCCTTACCGATCCCGGTCAGAGAACTGAAATTACAAGGCAAAATTATTCCATGTACCTGAGTAGTTTGTTAAAGAAATAGAAAAATTTACTTGAATATTGCTGGGAATGTCTGGAAAGATTAACTTAGACCAAAACATACTTTATTTGAAATGGTTTGGTACAGAGAGGAGGAGCTGCAAAAGCACTAGTAATTATTTGTGAAATTCTCTTACAGCCACACAAACTATAGAAATCTACTGATTGGTAGATAGATCAACTATGATCTTTATAATAGATTCACTTTAAATAAATCTATGGTCCCCAAAATAGTGTTCTATAGAGCAAAGCAATCTACAAGATATTCCTTTC